CAACATCCACATCACAAATCCTGGTCTAATTTTAATCTCAGTTTCTGTGCTTTCATTTTCTACACATCAGAAGGCAAGTTTATCTCATGATTTATTGTCACCTGAACCCTGAGGATGAACTCTACAAATCGCAACTGCCTTTGTATGACATTTTTCTATTATTTGCAGTCAGGGTGGCTGAAATATACTGAACAAAATTATAAACGCAACACTTTTGTTTTTGCCCCCATTTTTTATGAGCTGAACTCAAAGATCTAAGACTTTTTCTATGTACACAAAAGGCCTATTTCTCTCAAATATTGTTCACAAATCTGTCTAAATCTGTGTTAGTGAGCACTTCTCCTTTGCCGAGATAATCCATCCACCTCACAGGTGTGGCATATCAAGATGCTGATTAGACAGCATGATTATTGCACAGGTGTGCCTTAGGCTGGCCACAATAAAAGGCCACTCTAAAATGTGCAGTTTTACTGTATTGGGGGGTCCGGGGGGGTCCGAAAACCAGTCAGTATCTGGTGTGACCACCATTTGCCTCACGCAGTGCAACACATCTCCTTCGCATAGAGTTGATCAGGTTGTTGATTGTGGCCTGTGGAATGTTGGTCCACTCCTCTTCAATGGCTGTGCGAAGTTGCTGGATATTGGCAGGAACTGGAACACGCTGTCGTATACGCCGATCCAGAGCATCCCAAACATGCTCAATGGGTGACATGTCCGGTGAGTATGCTGGCCATGCAAGAACTGGGATGTTTTCAGCTTCCAGGAATTGTGTACAGATCCTTGCAACATGGGGCCGTGCATTATCATGCTGCAACATGAGGTGATGGTCGTGGATGAATGGCACAACAATGGGCCTCAGGATCTCGTCACGGTATCTCTGTGCATTCAAAATGCCATCAATAAAATGCACCTGTGTTCGTTGTCCATAACATACGCCTGCCCATACCATAACCCCACCGCCACCATGGGCCACTCGATCCACAACGTTGACATCAGCAAACCGCTCACCCACACGACGCCATACACGCTGTCTGCCATCTGCCCTGTACAGTGAAAACCGGGATTCATCCGTGAAGAGAACACCTCTCCAAAGTGCCAGACGCCATCGAATGTGAGCATTTGCCCACTCAAGTCGGTTACGACGACGAACTGCAGTCAGGTCGAGACCCCGATGAGGACGACGAGCATGCAGATGAGCTTCCCTGAGACGGTTTCTGACAGTTTGTGCAGAAATTCTTTGGTTATGCAAACCGATTGTTGCAGTAGCTGTCCGGGTGGCTGGTCTCAGACGATCTTGGAGGTGAAGATGCTGGATGTGGAGGTCCTGGGCTGGTGTGGTTACACGTGGTCTGCGGTTGTGAGGCTGGTTGGATGTACTGCCAAATTCTCTGAAACGCCTTTGGAGACGGCTTATGGTAGAGAAATGAACATTCAATTCATGGGCAACAGCTCTGGTGGACATTCCTGCAGTCAGTATGCCAATTGCACGCTCCCTCAAAACTTGCGACATCTTTGGCATTGTGCTGTGTGATAAAACTGCACATTTTAGAGTGACCTTTTGTTGTGGCCAGCCTAAGGCACACCTGTGCAATGATCATGCTGTCTAATCAGCATCTTGATTATGCCACACCTGTGAGGTGGATGGATTGTCTTGGCAAAGGAGAAGTGCTCACTAACACAGATTTAGACAGATTTGTGAACAATATTTGAGAGAAATAGGCCTTTTGTGTACATAGAAAAAGTCTTAGATCTTTGAGTTCAGCTCATGAAAAATGGGGGCAAAAACAAAAGCGTTGCGTTTATAATTTTGTTCAGTGTATATTCCGCTTTTACTCAAAACTCAATTTAAACCACCATCAAGTGTTTGTAATAACTTCCGATTGCCGTCTAATGTGTGTTTTGGCTATGTAATGTTGCTGAAATTAAATATGTTATTACCTCTGAGTCAGAGCAGCGATCATGGAAGAGAGAACACAGGCAGACAGTGCTGGAAGCTGCTAATGCTCGAACACGCACTAGTGTAAATGTAGCCTAATAGATGTGTAAACTGAAGACTATTTGAGCTTTATTAAAACTATTTGCACTGATTTATTGTGTTGGTTACATTTTGTTCCTTTGTGCAGTAGCTCAGGAGATGAGTCCTTGAGTTTGTATAAACATCAACAAGCTGAAAAATTAAACCAAAGTTTTTTTTAGATAATGTAATCTTGTTAAAATTTATTTCATAAAATTGGTATCGAAAAAAGTATCGTTCAGGAACCGGTATCGAAGTCAAGGTATCGGTATCGAATACAGTCCAGAAAGTGGAGATTCAAGCACACGCACCCACAACCAGCATTTCAATGATGTAAGAACAGCAGTTACAACAGGCACATGTGCTCGTGGAGTTAAAGGTCCATCGCCTTTAATGCTATTAACGTTTTTTAATATCATACTGGGTTTTGGTTTTGACTACATGCATGGAATTTTTCTCGGTGTATGTCGGCAACTGACAACACTATGGTTTGATTCAAAGTATCATGGAGAGAGCTGGTATATTGGAAGAGAAGCCATGGCCATTGATAAACGGCTACTTGAAATCAAGCCACCAGTCAATATTACAAGACCTCCACGATCTATAAAGATGCGCAAGTTCTGGAAGGCCTCAGAATACAGGAATTTTCTGTTGTTTTATTGTCTTCCATGCCTGAGTGGCATTTTACCACGCCACTTCCTTGAACACTTACTGCTACTTGTACAAGGAACTTTCTGTCTATTGAAAGATAGCATTTCTCCACATGACATAGATGTAGCTGAATTTCTGTTCAAAAACTTTGTGAGCCGTTTTGAGAGATTATATGGCAAATGTCATGTCAGTTTCAATGTGCACATTCTAGAGCATGCTGCTGCAGGACTCCTGTAGGAATGTCTCTGTCCTGAAGGAATTTAGTTCTGTCCTGCAGGATTCCTGCATGATCCCTGCACAGAAAGCAGCATTCCTTCAGGAATTCCTGCAGGATATTTTTGTAAGGGTCAGTACATAACGGCACTTAGGTCTGTCATACGAATGTACTGCAAATGCTCTAAAGAACACTGAAGGCGAACAGGAATTATACAGATATACAGCTCTCTGTTTGCAGCGCGTCAGTCACGCTCGTCAGGAAAGTGAGTGAAACACACACACAAACACACATTTTTATCAAATAATACATCATTAATAGCGGTTCATTTCCGCGATTTGGTAAGACTGCGTTCACATCAGCAGCGAACCGTATCGGAGTTCACATGAACCGTACCCCAGACCACCCTTTTTAAGTGGACTCGGGTACGGTTCGCGGGTGCGCACCCGAGTTCGGAAGACAGCGTTCACATCATCCATACGAACCGAACTCTGACGTCAATCGAACCCGGGTGCGCACCAAAAGTGCTAGTGTGAAAGCAACCCTAAGTTTCTGTGTGTGCGCAGCATGATCTCAAACCTCTCTCCCTCTCACTGTGTTTATGTGCGAGTGATGTGTGTGTTTGTGTGCATCAATTAAAGAAGTGCATTAATATAGAATGGTGATTAAACTGACTTGGAACTACCTGTGCATTAAACGGTTTTAATGCATACCTGCCAGCCAATCAGAATTGAGTATTGAGACAGACCATGGTATGTATAATTATGGTATGCATAATGTAATAGAAAATACCTCAGACAATCAAAAGCTGTTATTTGTTCTTTGTCGTCAATTCTTCAAAGTAATTTTTGTACAGAGGGGAGGATGGTGGGGTAACAACATACAAAACGGACAGCATAATAACACTGCTGAAAACTAAGTGCACACCTGATACACACACACATACACATACACAGACACACATGAGGTACACACCAGTGTTAATTTCGTTGACGAATAGTTTTCGTCAACAACATTTTTTTCACCGACTACAATGAGACGATAACGAACTAAAACTCTTTTTGAATGACAAAAACTATGATGTAAATCTATTGACATTTTCGTTAATTAATAAAAACGAGACGAAAATATTAGGGAGGGATGATTTGGGAAGAGATTCATTCAGAACGAATCTGCTGCGTGGTTCAAAGGTTAGATGAGTACATATGAACCGGCGGGACATAAGCTAACACACTTGGTTGCTGCACATCACATAAAACGTTCAAAAATGTCAATATGTGGGTGTAAGAGAAGAGCAGACATATGGATAAATCTGACGAGGCAAGAGAGAACTCAATTCGGTCCGGTTTTCTGAGCGCAGACACCGAAGCATAGGCTACACACAGAAAGCGCGTCTCACAGCACGCGAGTACTCTTTCGCGTCACATGAACGGAGAATTACATAAAATGGAGAACGTGTATCAGTACATTGCATCCATTGCAGCTGTGCATTCGGTTTTAAAGGGATAGCAGCCTAATTTAGTTGCTATTGTCCGAGTCATTGATGTTAATCAAGCAACAAAAGAAAGACAGAAAAAACTAAATCAAAATTTGCTGTCAAAATTAACACTGGTACACACCCTGTAACATTCTATTCTAAAACTGCGCTTAATCGAAGTGAAGCATTCATGCCTCTGAAATAATCATTAACACGTTTAATAATTTTTTTCCTCTTCTAATAACATGGCAAGAACTGCATTATGCCAACACCTGGATGGAGCTGCTCAGGTACAGACATGAACAGGCATGAATCACTGGCATGAAACTGGGTCAGTGTGCCAGTGAGTGTGCGTGAACATGAACTAAACGTTGTGCGAAAACAGAATAAATACGATTTGAGAGAGACTTAGTTAATGAGATTAAGAGCTCCTGTAACGGGGAGACTTCTCACTTTGCCACACAAACAAACACACCGTGTGTCTAAAAACCAGCCTTCCGGGAACAGCTAGACAAGTGTAAAGTGCAGTCAGTCAACACTAGAATCTTGTCTGGTGTTGAATGATGTCAAAATGAAGACATTATATTCTGGATTGATTATGATGTCATATTGTCCACAAAGTCAAAATTATGTAATGGACTTACCCTCTCTCCTTTGGAGGCGAAACATTGGCAGAGGCTGCAGTCTCGACCTTCGCACCTTTCTGTCTTGTCTCCCTAAAATACAGAAATATAGTTTCAGAAATGGAGTGAAACACACTCATACACATGTAGGCTCATATACACTGGGCATTCATGATGGAAACTCACAAATTATCTGTATCAATATTTTAAAGTTTCAGAAGTCAACATTCATTGCTTGTTTTTAATGCTTTCCTTAGATTACACATTTATGTAGATGAGTAGTGTTTGCTGTGGAAAGCCACCATCACGATGCTAGTGTGTTCTGGGCGGCTGCCACAAAGTTGCTGCATTTGCTAAGGTGTTGTGTGTGGCTTTTAGTATGTTGCTATACGGTTGCTATGGTGTTCTGGGTGGTTATACACACACACACACACACATATTCACATATACATAATTAATTACATTTACACTTTTTTTACATTATAAGAGAGAAAATCATGTGAATAAATAACATTTTATCAGCTCTCCAGCATGAAATAAATCTACATTAACTGTGTGTGTCACCTTGTGTGTCCCTGTGCATATCAGGTTTCAACATAAAAATATAATCAAAATCAATTTTTCACAATCAATCAAATAAAAATAAATAAATGAATGTATGAATAAATACATTTGATATATTTAAATATTCTTTTATTTTATGTTATTATTATTTGTGTATCATATTGAGAAATTAGATTTATTAATTTTCAACATTTTCAACCCAAACAAACCAATAAATAACTACATTTATTTATTTATTAATGATTATTTGTGTGTCATATTTGGAAATTTAGTTTATTAAATATTTTAATTTATACTAATTTATTGTTGAATGTTCCATGAGGAAAAGCATGTCTGAAACAAAAATCATAACAAGTTAAACTAAGAAGCTTACGATAAACTAGCTAAATACGACCTACTTAGCGAGTCAAATATGACCTAGTTATTTCAAGAGGACATCGGATACAAAATTCACTTTTACATGGTGTAAATATGTAAATATGTGTCTCAGCAGTGAGTGGACTTAATTTTCAACATTTTCAACCCAAACAAACCAATAAATAACTAAATTTATTTATTTATTAATGATTATTTGTGTCATATTTGGAAATTTAGTTTATTAAATATTTTAATTTATACTAATTTATTGTTGAATGTTCCATGAGGAAAAGCATGTCTGAAACAAAAATCATAACAAGTTAAACTAAGAAGCTTACGATAAACTAGCTAAATACGACCTACTTAGCGAGTCAAATATGACCTAGTTATTTCAAGAGGACATCGGATACAAAATTCACTTTTACATGGTGTAAATATGTAAATATGTGTCTCAGCAGTGAGTGGACACAACCACCCTACAAAGATAAAAATCCATTCACTTTTTTTTTAATCCCCAAAAAGCTAAACAGTCTCAATAATCAAGCAGTTTTGATTTTCTGAGCAATATGACGTCATACTGCGCAAGCCCTACCCACGACAGACCCGTCAGACTATCCCGTATTAGCATATCTCCGCCCTCTTTGGTTATACACTGTCCGCCATTTTCTCCACACACGAGCAGCTGTAGCGAAAACAAAGACTCGAAAGCAATGCAGGTGTTTTGTAGTTGGATGTAAAAGTAAACATAAGAGTCTTCATTATCTCCCAACATGAGAGCCACTGAGGACGAAGTGGATTAGTTTTGTTTTTGATGGTAATGTGCCACCGAATACACCCAAGTTAAATTTGTTTTTGTCTGCGCAAATCATTTTACTCCAGATTGCTTTCTGAATGAGGGACAATTCAAGGCAGGTTTTCCTAAAAAGTTAAAACTTTTCCTAAAAAGTTAAAGGATGTATCAGTACCCACTGTTCATAATCCAGCTGCACCTCTAGAAGAAGTAAGTCTCACACTTTATATTTGTTATGAATATATGCAAATCACCTTTTCTCTTCCATGGAAGAGAGGGGCAGGGTGAGCAGAGCTCATTAGCATTTAAAGAGACATGCACCGAAACGGCTGCTCTGTGATCAGAGCTGTTTTTGACAAGGTAAAAAGGGGGGTGTTTTACACGACCACTGAGGAATTTTAACCAAAGTATGTTGCAGACATTTCATGAAGACCCTAAAGAATCATACCGCACTTACAAATAACATGATTTTTTACACATGTATCGTACATGACAAATTGCCATGTTTTTGATAGGTATCAGTATATATGATGCCTGTCTCGATGTATTCAAGGGCTTTTGACAATATATTTCCATCCTTTGCACAGTCTGTGGCAAACCAGACTAGACGTTTGATATTGAGGCCAGGAGAGATCCAAAGACATACACGTGAGCTAACAAGCACAATGGCAGGAATGTAAACGTAGAGATAATGAAAGAGAGACAAAGAGACACAAAGACAAGAAGAAGAGATAGGAGGGTCAGAATCTAATATGTGAATAAGTACAAGAGGGAGAGGAAGTTTAGGTCAGACATGTTATGTCTGTTTGGAGGTAGTCAACCACGTAAAGAGAGGAAGAGAGAGAGTGATAAACTTTATTAGCAATCAGATGCCATTCTTTCACGAAAGCACACTTATCGCACACACATGCGCAGTGTCTGTACCTGGACAGCTCAGTCCTTTGCAATATTCCTCCAGTAAAAAAGTTAATCCCCTGTTGCCCGCTCACATCAAAATCTATCGATATATTTGTTTAGAAATGTTTTGAATGGTTTTTACCTTTTACTACATATTTCTCTCCTGATTCAGACAAGATGACTTTTTCACTGAAGAAAGCAATATTATAGACTATGGACTTATTTTAGCCGGTTTAAAGTTAAAACCCATCTTAATGGTGGATTTGTTTCTGACAAACATGCAGCATAGATGTTATGTGTTGTGTGGATTACTTGTGGTCTTCAACGTCAAAGTATTTAACAATGTAGCAATGCCAGTTTTTTAATAGCAGCAAAACAATAGTGTTAAAGTCAAGTAATCTTAGGGTTTAGGCTTTGGATCTGAGTAAATGAAAAGCCACTTTCCTAATCAGCGCTTATCAGCAATTTCAGAAAGAAAAAAAAATCATAATAATACACTATGGTTCAAAACGAAGGGGTCAATAAGATTTTTAAAATAAATTAAAGTGTTTTTTTTTTATAAAGGTCATTCTTTTGAACTTTCCACTTATCAAAGAACCCTGATAAAATGTATCACGGTATCGACAAAAATATTTAGCAGCACAACTGTTTTCAACACTGATAAATAGAAATGTTTCTTAAGCACCAAATCACCTCAACTGCAATAATATTTCACAATATTACCATTTTTACTGTATTTTTGATCAAATAAATGCAGCCTTAGTGAGCCTAAGAAACTTCTTTCAAAAGCATTACAAATTCTTACCAAACCCAAACTTTTAATCAGTTGTGTACTTTGGAGCAAAGCAAAGCCGCAAAAATTAATATACAAACTACAGGAATTTCTTTTTCCAAAATTGTACCCCATCTGCATGACTTTTCAAGGTCTGGAAATCACAAACCTAACGTACTGATTTACAAGAATTTAAGTATTGAGACATTTGGATGTGTTAAAATATTTTTCTTTCTGTATATTTCCCCCATCTATCTGCTCTTCCCCATCTGTATGCCTGCTTTACTCTGCACCTCCGACAGGTTGTTGACCAGACAGCCAATCAGAGACAGTAGAGCAGACAACTGTCTTACTTACTCTCTCTTCATAGGCTAAATGAGTAACGTTGGCCTATGAATTGGGGTGGACAAACTAATTATGTCTTAATTTGTGAATACATTAGAACCCACATAACTACCAGTTGAAAATTTGGACACAGCTGCTAATTTTTTACGTTTTACAATAACAGTAAAAGTCATCCTAACTAGGAAATTGGAATTTTGGGAAATGTCTAGAGGCCGGCAAATGTTTAACAAAACAAAACCAGCTTATTTAAACCAATTTATATTTGTCTACTCTAATTCCAAGCATTTTAAGCCTTTAGATCAAAAGGTTTGGAAGTTCATGTGATACATAAACTCAAGTGTGTCAAACTTTTGACTGGTACTGTAAACCGTCAGGTTGACAGTTACACCATGCAGCGTGACAAAAAATGTACGCATGTCAGTTATTTAAATGAGGGACAGGATGTGTACATGTGTATGTGTGGGTATGTGTTTCTGATAACTTTTTCTGTGTGTGTGTGTATTTGGTGTAATGAAATGTGTTTATGCGGTTTAAGGTTCAAAAAACACATTATTTTCCACATACTGTACATTATTGTTTCTCCTCTATGCCCCGCCTTTCTGAAACGCGTCGATTTTTACAAAGCTCATCGGTCGGTCAAGCGAGGTGTGCTCTGATTGGCCAGCTATCCAGTGTGTTATGATTGGCCGAATACCTCAAGCGTGAGACGGAAATGTTACACCCCTCACCATACTGTGATGCCGTCTTAGTTGAAAATTTGGACACAGCTGCTAATTTTTTACATTTTACAATAACAGTAAAAGTCATCCTAACTAGGAAATTGGAATTTTGGGAAATGTCTAGAGGCCGGCAAATGTTTAACAAAACAAAACCAGCTTATTTAAACCAATTTATATTTGTCTACTCTAATTCCAAGCATTTTAAGCCTTTAGATCAAAAGGTTTGAAAGTTCATGTGATACATAAACTCAAGTGTGTCAAACTTTTGACTGGTACTGTAAACCGTCAGGTTGACAGTTACACCATGCAGCGTGACAAAAAATGTACGCATGTCAGTTATTTAAATGAGGGACAGGATGTGTACATGTGTATGTGTGGGTATGTGTTTCTGATAACTTTTTCTGTGTGTGTGTGTGAGTGAGTGAGTTTGAGGAAGCACCTGCTTTGTGACACCTGGTCATTTTTGTTCAGGTTTACAACTTACCCCAGACCCCCTTCACACAGAATCAGACAGAACGCCTTAGGCAAAATCATCTGTGCAGGAACCACAGTGTGCCATCAATACACTCACTTTTCTGCTATTCCATTACTTCCTAACAATTTTGTCATTATTTACTCATCCTCATGTCGTTTCAAACCTATATGACATTCTTTCTTTCTTATACAGAACACGAAAGGTGAATATACTTTACGGAATGTTATCCGATCAGCGTGTCCTGGTCCAGAGGTAGTCGAGGACGCATTGTGATCGAAACTCAGTGTAATGTAAACGCAATCCAGTCATCGTGTCTGCATTCGCAGGTCGACATCACGCAAAACGCTGCCCCCTCTCTCCCGATCTGTCATTTTTTTTAATTTGTAAAATGTCCCGCAACTGAAAATAGTTTTCAAAAAAAAAAACACCACTTCAGGTCGACTTTGCACCGCAGACTTATTTAAATATTGCACGGGAAATACAGATCCAATCGGTTATCCAGATCGAGAAGTCAGCTGATGTTGCCAAGTGTAAACGCGCCGTGTCCTGATTGACTGATGATCCGATCTGCTTGATCAGATCACGGTGATCGCATGTTAATGCCAAGTGTAAACGCAGCCTTTGACACCCCTGCTCTACATAGAACAGCAACTCAAATTCACTTTTAATTTAACTAAACTTTGATGTTAATGGCCAGGGCCATCGCTATGGTATCCAGTGCAGGTTGCTGCTACTGAAATTGCGTTCTGGTCCCCCTCAATTGACACCAACAATCGTCACAGACACCGACAAAAAACATTGAAACATTTCTCAATATATCTTCTTTTTATGTTCTGCAAAAGAAAGAAAGACTTGAGGATGAGTAAATTATGACAGTTTTCATTTTTAGGAGAACTATCCCTTTAACATGTTTCAAAGCTAATGACAATATTCTAATAAGCATAAAAATATCAGCACATACAAACACAACTTTTACCAAGTCCATCTGAACTTTGCAGGGAAAAAAGACATTTACTGTTAATGGCCAGGGCCATCGCTATGGTATCCAGTGCAGGTTGTTGCTACTGAAATTGCTTTCTGGTCCCCCTCAATTGACACCAACAATCGTCACAGACACCGACAAAAAACATTGAAACATTTCTCAATATATCTTCTTTTTATGTTCTGCAAAAGAAAGAAAGACTTGAGGATGAGTAAATTATGACAGTTTTCATTTTTAGGAGAACTATCCCTTTAACATGTTTCAAAGCTAATGACAATATTCTAATAAGCATAAAAATATCAGCACATACAAACACAACTTTTACCAAGTCCATCTGAACTTTGCAGGGAAAAAAGACATTTACGGACTTGGCCAGCAGTTTTATCTTATCATTGTGAATAGTTGTGAATCACAGTTCGACGCTGTATTTGCACATCGTTTGATACTGAAAGATGGAGCGGTCCCAGCTATAAAAGATCCCGGTTATGATTCAGAACTGCAGACGGTAATTGAAACTGCATCAAATGTCTGTGTTTTGTTGGCAGTCGGAGCTCAAGTGCTCGTCAATCTTTAGCTCCGCCCATGGCACACCTCCAGGAGCTCGGCTGTTTTCGGAGAGAATCGTAAAGCTGTATCTTTCTTTTATAAATATGATAAACTAAAGACTTTTTGGAGATATGAAGGATGCAGTACTACTCTATATGTACTCAAGATTAACATGAGATTGGGTGAAACCGTGTGTGTTATGTCCCCTTTAAGACAACTTTATGAAGATAATACAAGTTAATACTCACCCCCAATGCTGTGTGTATCGTCATAAGTGCCAATAAAAGCCTCCTGCTGGAAAATAAATGAATGAGACATATTGAATAAGACATAAGTAATCAATACAAAAGAAGAATTTAGGTGGCTCTTTTGGAGACATCTAGAGTACCATTCAAACGTGTGGTGTAGATAAGACCACAAAAAAGTTGTGCTGCTTCATTTTCTGTAAACTGTGATACATTTTTTCAAGATTATTTAAAAGAAATCTTTTATAGCATTAAAAATGTCTTTACTGTTACTTTTGATCAATTTAATGCATCCTTGCTGAATTCTAAAAAAAAAAAAAATAAAATACTGACCACAAACTTTTTAATAGTATTATATGCAATTGTCTATGTGACATCCTCATAAAAGCAACATTACCTATACCAGGTGACAGCAAACATAAATGCTGAGAATAGTGTTTAAGATAAGATGTTTTTGATGAATACATAATTGTGTTATTAGATGTAGGGATCTAATCAACTGATTATTTGTTTGATCTAGTTGAATTATGCTAAATGTCAAAAGACAGCCTGCAAACAAGGATGATGGGAATACTAGGGACAATGGAGACTCTTACAAGAAAAGGAGGCTGGTCGAGGCGATCCGGCCGGGGCGTGTCATCTCAGCGGCCACTCAGGGCATGTGCTACCTGTTGATATATATATATATCCACTGCCTCAGAATGGTGTGGTCAGTGATGTAGCTATGACTCCTGATGTCCCCACGGACAACTCATCCACCTAAGGGAAAAATCATGAGATGGATGGATGGGTAAATCGCTGCATGAATATATGGATAAACAATGGTGTGACAATTAGGTAAAGGCAGACAGATATACATTTAGATGTTACAGATATAATATTTATATAATATACAATATTTCCAGTGGCTGACAATACGGTGGAGGTGGTGATGTGAGAAGTGGGGGTGAGAATGAAAGAGACTGACTGAATCAATTCAATAGATGGAGCTGAGACAAAGTTGATCTTTCAGGATGGCTTCTTTTTCATGGCACACAAGTCAAGACTGACAAAGATTGTAAAGGGGTCCTATTATGCTTTTTCACTTTTTCAACTTTAGTTAGTCTCAGGGTTCCCACTCTTTCATGAACACCAGATTCAAGGACTTTCAAGGACTTTTTAAAGCACCATTTATTTTATATCAAGCACCTATTAAATTCACACCCCGGCATATGTAGTGTCATGAAAGACCTTACAGTACTTAACAGTTCACTTACACTTAACATTTACATTAAACATTTCAGAGTAATAATGTTTTGAATGTGTAGGTTTCATAAATTTAGACCGTTTTGAGCAGTTGTGTTCAAAGGAATTTAATGAAATCCATTGAAGTCAGTACTGGTGATAAATAAAATTCAATTTCTAAAATATTGATAAAATATGCATCAAACTGATTTTTGCTGTAGTTCTTGTACAAGATTTAAATTTGAAAGAATTTCTTAATTTTTAAATTCATAAAAAGTGGTTAAATGTTGTAATAACATAGTAAAACCTGTTAACATTAAAAATGTGCACATTCACTCAAAAGAGACGTTACTCATTAATAAATTAACTCAAGTCAAAATAATTTTGTAAATTACTTTTTATTGTAAATCCCATTTTTTCATCTTTGACCTAGAGGAATGCAGCTGCTCAAACATGCAGCTGCTCAAAACGTCAATATTTTTTGAAAATATTTCATGAACATTCTAAACCTTGTACATGTGCAAATCTGCAAAAAAAAAATATAAAGAAAAGAAATAAAAAATAGGACTTTCTATTTGCTTTTAAACTGTAAACGCTTTACACTAAGCTGTTTTTCCAATTTTTCAAGTTCTACATTTTTCTCCTTAGCTCCATGTTGCAGTAAGTTTTGGGAGTTCATTTTTAGTCCATCTCCTATCCCGAGAAGTCTGTCTTGCAGAGACTGACAAAAATGAGCTCCTAAAACTTACTGCCAGATTCACAACACTTCAGAATGTTATTCTTATTAAGTAGGGGTCATTTTTAAGGATTTTTTACCCAAGCAAAGTCTCTGAGAACCTGACACCTTGTAATTCTGGAGACTCAAGGTTGCAGTTCTGGAAAATAGTGGCACTGGAGACAAAGGTTCCTGATGGTTTCACACTTAATTCTTCACATTAATTTTTTATTCTTTTGCAGTTAACATGCTCTTTTCTTCTCCACCTGTTTTTTTTCTGACCCCGCTGACCCAATGAGCATTTTGCTGACCAATGGTCATGCCTTCATTTTGAAATTTCTGTATTGCATTAGTTTTTAATATTTCAAGGGGGTTTAATCATTTTTGACTTCTCAGTCTGAGTTAAATCTCTTTTTTGGCTCATTTCATCCGTAAAAAACCTTCCTAATAATTATGCACACCTTAATAAGGAGTTTTTCATTTCCAGCCTTCATGGACAGTTATATATCACTTCTAAATGATTAAATACAAAAATAATAGTAGTTATTAAGATTGATGAATCACGTGCACTCAGAATTGAATTTATTTTAACTAAAAAAGACAATTAAATAGTAAATAAAATAAAAACAAATAAATTAATTACAATCAATAGCAAAAACAAAAACAATAACAAGAAATGTTTTCAGTTAGGTCTAACTATAGTTACTTAATTTGGAACTATTTTCGTTGATGAAAGAGAGCAAAATCAGGCAGT